TTCTGGCAAGAATGAGACCAGTCTCCTCAAACACAGAGATGGAAAGCCTGTGTTGAGGATGTGGAGCTGGTGTGACATTCCTGAACCACTGAACCTCTAGATTATGAGGAGGAATGTGATCAGGTTCATGGGAGCACATCACACACTTGAGAATCTCTTTGTTACAGCAACTAAGGCTTTATTCTTACAAATACAGTGCCTACCAGGCAAGCCCTCTAAAAGCCCTGTGCTGGATGGCTTTAGTTTTCAACTTGACACACCTGGGTAGAGGGACCCTCAACTGAGGGATTTTTCTCCATTGGATTGGCCTGTGGCCATGTCTTTGAGGAATTTCTTTGATTATTGAGCGATGTGGGAGGGCCCAGCCCACTGTGGGCAGTCCCACCTGGCCAGGTGGTCCTGCATTGTATACAAAGGCTAAGCATGGGCCAGGTGAACAAGCCAGTAAGCAGCATTCCTGCATGGACCATGCAGTAAGCCAAATAAACCCTTTCCTCCCTGAGTTGGTTTTGGTCAGTGTTTTTACCACAGCAATAAACAACTAACTGGAACAGGCCCTATCCATAGCTTAATTCATATGCTAATGTACCAGAGCAACAGCATGTGTTTGGTCATATAGAATGTGGGGCACATACTATGTGCTGAGTGATTTTAGACTTTAATCTCCCAACAGCCCTCTGTGGTTTGTAATAGTACTGTCCCACACTTTAAAGGTGAGGAAGGTGAGGCATGAGTAAATCTAAAAGCTTGCCCAAGGTTCTAGGAGTAAGTAGGAGATAGAGGCCAAACCCTGCGGTGTAACGCCACACCTCTCTTCTCGGGCTGCCTCTCCCTGAAGGATGACATGTCCACATATCCAGTCTAAGCAAGCCCAGAAATGACTAACATTTGCTCAGCGGGAGTGTAACCCCCATGTCTTGCTTTTCTAAAGGTAGTATTGATCAGTCACTAGTTTGTATTGAATTTCTGTTCAGTCCCAGGCATTGGGTTTGGCACTGGGAACATAAAAACGGTTGACACATGGCCATGGGCCCCTGGTGGGGGAGTGATGATTCCAGGATATGGAGTATGACACGTGATAAGGGTCCTGATATTACCGCAACTGTCACCTTGCGCTCTACCAGGGCTTCCCAAGGTTAAAATATCATTCAGTGAGCATGGAAATGGGAAAGCAAATAAAAAAACATTTACTGAGATTGGTGCCTTGACTGCAAAGCTAAGAGGGATACAGTTTTATTCCCATTTTATGAATGGGGAAAGTGAGACCAAGAAACCCATCAAGCTCCTGAGTTCCTACACTCCACAACACTGGCAGGAAAAGACAGACCCCCACAGCCCCTCTGGACCTCCAGCTTCCTTGCTCAGCTTAAAACCATCCTCTCTTTTCTCAACAGAGAAGCAGTTGATCAACCAATCAGTCACTTGACCAATGTCCCCATTGCTGAGCTGGGTTTTGGGGGTTTTTTTGTTTTTTTGTTTTTTTTTTCCCACTTCACATCTAAAGCATTTCAATACAGCAGGGAATGTCTGAATGGAAAAAAAAAAAAAAAAAAAAAAGCATGCTTACAATATGACCTCAACACCTACATTCTTTGGGTTTATTTCCCTGTGTGTGTAAGCATGTGTGCCCACCCATGCATGCCTTGTGGAGGCCAGAGGTTGACTTCATGTGTCTTTCTCTAGTGTGCTCCACCTTATCTTTGAGACAGGATATCTCACTGAACCTGGAACTCGCTGTTTTGGCTAGAGTGGCTGGCCAGCAAGTCTCTGGCATCTGCCTGTCCCTGTCCCTCCCACCAATACTGAGGTTACAGACACATGCCACTTGTACCCAGTTTTTATATGGGTGCTGATGATCTTCATGGTTGCACAGTAAGCATTTTACCCATTGAACCATCTCCCCAGACCTCCTTTATTTCTTTACACACACACACACACACACACACACACACACACACACACACTTCTTGCACATTGCTCTGGGGTTTTGCTTTGCTTTGTTTTCAGTTACGGGAATTGAACTCAGAGCCTCTGCATACTAGACAAACACTGTACCACTGAGCTCCATCGCCAGCACTCTTTTTACTTTGTTGTTGCTGTTGTTGAGACAGGGTCTCCCTGTAGCTCCAGCTGGCCTGGAACTTGCTATGTAGACCAGGCTGGCCTCAATTTCACAGAGATCTGCCTGCCTCTACTTCCTAAATCCTGGGATTAAATCTTTTTGCTTTTTATTTTGAGACAGGGATTCACTAAGTTGCCCAGTCTGGTCTTGAACTTGTGATCCTCCTTCCTCAACCTCCCATACAGCTGGGATTACAGACCTGCACCATCAAGCCCACATATTTTGTATTTTTATTATTACTTAATAAATGTTTATAACTTCATTGTATTAAAATATAGTAGAATAAATTATAATATTTATGTTATTATTTCACACATGGAATATTTATGTTTATCCATTCACATTATTATGTCTATTTTGTCCCATAGTCTTACATATTTTTATATGCATAGTTTCAATATTTAGCATTTTGGAAGAATTTCAGGTACTCTCCCTTATCATTTTCAAGTGAAAAACACAAATAAGGTCAACTCTTTGGAAACTATCTTTTTTTAAAAACATATATTTTTATTATTTTATGTGTATGAATGTTATGCCTGCTTATGTGTAAATGCACCTGTGTCATGCAATACCCACAGGGGCCAGAAGACGGCATTAGATCCCCCTGGAACTGGAGTTATAGACAATTGTTAGACACCATGTGTGTGCTGGGAACTGAACCCTGGTCCTCTGAAAGAGCAGCCAGTGCTCTTAACCGCTGGTCTACCTCTACAGCCCCTGGACACTATCTTTCTATGTAGGTCGTATAGCAATGTTTTTTTTGTCTAATCTCATAAGGAAGGGCTGGTCCCTATCTTCATCTAGTAAATACTGAAGGATGCAGACAGTAACTTCTGGTTTAAACACCAGTCTCATCCTAGGAGACGTCAGCTATACATAGTTAAGAGCTTCTAAACTTGTGTTTCCATCTAAATTGCCATCTTTGTCTAAGAAAATTCATCCTATGATTAACAGCTTTCATTTTTTTTCTTCTTCCTTATAAAAGGTATCACTCCAAATGGATTTCACAGATTTTTAGAATCTGTAGCCAAAAGTGGAACCATTTTCCATTTCTTCATCTGGGGCCCAGCCTGATGTGGTAACAGACTTGGGAGCACCTGCATGGGCTGTTTGCAGAGCTTTGGGGTTCCAGCCCCACCCAGGATCTCTTCCCAGTGAAGGAGTGCCCCTTGCTCCTGTTACAGAAAGCTGTTACTTTAATATGCAGTTCTGCCTGGGGAAGTGACACATGGATAAATCCAAAGTGACATGCAAATGATTTGGAGCAAGCTGTTTCCAATCCTGAAAGGGCTGAGGTAGAAAGGTGGGCAGAGGCTGCCTGTGACTGGCAGAGCAGTCTTCCAATGGGGAACAATTCTGAAGGGGACACAGAGTACAGGAGCTGCCCCTCCCCTGGGTACGGAGGGGATGGAGAGTTTGACACCAGCCTGGGTTACTATAGAGTGAGGCCTTATCTCAAAAAAGTAATAACAACAGCCAGATGTGGCAGTGCAAGCCTTTAATCTCAGTGCTCGGGAGGCAGGGGCAGGATGTCACACAAATATTTGGTGACCCTCAATGATCATTTTGATTCTTATATCCATAGACCTCTTTCTATGATAGATTCTATAGACTATAGATTCTAGTCACTCTGTTAACTCGATTCATCCAGACTGCTGTCCAGCGTGCACACAGATTCATGAGGATAACAGGCTCTTGGTGCACAAATACAGATACTAGCCCCTGACTCAAGGATCACCAATTAACCAACTAGCTGGAGATGAAGAGGGAGGGACTTGACTTTGACCCCCACAATGCTTCAACTTTAGCAAGAAGCAGCTAGAACTGAAGTCAACGCCTCAAATGCCTTGAGTCTCATCTCCTCTAACCCCTGTTCCAAGCTATTTTATGCATTTATTTTTATGTGTATGAGTGTTTTGTTCCAAGTCATTTTATGCATTTATTGTTATGTGTATGAGTGTTTTGTTTGTATGTATGTAAGTGTAATGTCTATAGAGATAAGAAGAAGATGTTCTGGAACTGGGGTTAAGGATGGGTATTAGCCACCATGTGGGTGCTGGAGAACTGAACACACATCCCCTGGAAGAGCTGTAAGTGCTCTTAACCACTGAGTCATCTCTCCAGGCCATATAATATATATGTACACATATATTATATGTATGTGTGCTTGTGTGTGTATACACACATATATGTATATATGTATACATATATACATATATATGCAAAAAATCTGCAATACTAGGTCACAGATGCTGCCCTTGTACAGGGAATCAGCCATGCCTTATATCCTATCTAGTACCATCCCTAATCACCCCTCTTCTCTAAACTCAGCACCCCTCCCTTCTAAAGTAAATAAGCATAAGGAATTTCCCTTGTTCTGGGGGCTGATGTTGGATCTCCTATTCCAGCTTCCCCAATTGCAAGTGTCTGGCATCCCTAAAGGCTATTTCACCTGAAAATAAATAATTAGTGACTGTATTAGTCAGGGTTCTCTAAAGAAACAGAACTGGTAGAATGAATATATATGTATAGAGATTTATCAGCTTAGCTCACAGGATAGAGTCCGAGTAGTCCAACAATGGCTGCACCACACTGGAGAGGCTGAGAATCCGTAGTCGCTCAGTCCACAAGGCTGGATGTCTCAGTAGTCCCAATCTGGAGCTGAAAGTCTGACAAATTCCAAAAGATCAGCTAGTCTTCAGTCTACAGCAGCAAGACGAACTCACCAGCGAGAGAGAAGGAAAGCAGCAAGAAGCCTGGCGTTCTCCTCTGCCTTGGTCTTTTATACGGGCTGCCATCAGAAGGTAACACCCACATTTAGGGTGTGTCTTCCAGCTTTAGATGATCCAATCAAGAAGATCTCTTTCATTTCAGTTAATCCCAGATCCAGTCAAGTTGACACCTAGGATTAGCCATCACAGTGAATGATGATGAATGAATGCACCACTACATTCAGCCAATCCATCAACAGCCATTTATCTTGCATTTTCCTTGCAAACCAGCACATTCAACCAACATTCACTCACTGAGGTACTTACTGATGCCCACTGTGTGCCTGGTAGTCAGGACCAGCTAACTGCAGACTACAGTGTGACGTGAAAGAGGAGGGGCTTGTTCAAAACTGACTGGGAGTTGAAGACATTGACAAGTACTCGTATCCCTCAAGAGCTTACAGTCTAGCAAGAAGAGACGGACAATAAGAAAAACACAGTTGTGCCTTATCACCAACGGGAGTTGCTTCCAGTACTCCCTCTGGATACCAAAATCTGCAGATGCTCAGGTTCCCTATATAAAATGGCATAGTATGTTTGTAAGTGCACCTGTGTCATGCAGTTCCTGTGAAGGTCAGAAGAGGGCATTAGAGCCCCCCTGGAATTGAAATTACAGACCATTGTTAGCCACCATGTGGGAGCTGGAAATTGAACTCTGGTCCTCTGCAAGAGCAGCCAGTGCTCTTGACTGCTGAGCCATCTCTTCAGCCCCTAGAAACAACTTTTTAACTAATCTACTTGAACTTTCCACAAGTGTTTCTGCAAGAAACACATCCATAATTGAAAATTAATTTTGTCACCAGTTATTATAAAGTAGTTATCTTCTTATGCAAAAATGCATGCATACTCCCTACACATTGTTTTCTCCCCAATAAAGTAAAATTTATTAAAAATAAATAAATATCCCAGGGCCTGCCTCTCTCCAACCCGCAGGCCTCTCTCTCCGGGGTAAGTCGATTGCGCCCTCCGCACCTTGACTCCCCCAGCCTCATTCACCCTCCCATCTCCCCTGCCGGTCTCTCTCTTAGCCTGGGTCCTGTCCCATTCCTTGTCTTGGTGCCCCAGGCACTGGGGTAACTACCACTGCTTCCTGATCCTTTGCATCCAGACCAACTCAGTTCCTTCTTGGGTCCCCAGGAACACTGCTTCTGGGCCTGGCCCTGCCCTCACCTCCGTTTGCTTCCCTGGGCCTGCATGACCCTGGGCCAACTGTATGGCCTTAAACACCCAAAAGGAAAGTATAACCAAAGATTAAAGTGGCCAATATAATTTTTAAGAGTCCATATGCATAGCAAAAGGCTACATAACAAGCAACAATGCCAGATAGGAGATACCTTCTTTTGAGTTGTTGGTCTGGGTGGCCAAAGGGACTCCCAGATAGTAACCCAGCACAGAACTGGGAAAATGAACAGCAGACCCCAATCTTATCTAAAAGACTAGTGACAACTGATTACTGCTAAATGAGGAACAGCTGACCCTCCTAAAACAAAGACCTCTAGATGGGCTGACCAGATTCACCAGAAGGGCAAGTAGTGGGGAATGGCTCGGGGGGAGGCGGTCAACAACACAGCAGACAGTAGCAGGGATATCAGAGTATAAGGGCGCTAGGGGGGGGGGGGAAGGCTATGGGAGGGTGCCATCTTGGAAGTGGGTATATAGTTGAATAAGATGGTTTGGGATGTTCTGTGTGATATACACACATGAAAAAAAAAACTTTTTTTTAAATGTATTATATTTGAGGAGGAAGCATGGAAATTTACGTCATGCTAATTAGTAGAGGTGATAAACATTACCATTGAAATCTATCCGATGACTTTAGAGACATACACAAGCGCCAAGGATCCAAGTGCAACCGATTATGACTAGTAATAATCAGATACATACAGATTAGAGATGCATGTGCCAACATCTCAATGTTAGTAGCAAAAACAATGAGTCTTTCTGCAAGGAACAATATATTCCAAAATGAAACGTAGATC